TGTGTGTGTGTGTGTTTCTGGCAGGAATGTTTGAGTCAAAAATAAGCTTCTTTGGAGAGTATTTACTTTGTGTTTAGATGAGCCATTTGGATCTGTGACTGTCTTCACACGACAATCTTCTGCACTCTCACTGCAAATACAGCAGTGATCATTAAAAAAAGAAAGAACTAGTTTGCTCAATTGACACGGAGCTCTAAGCTTTTTCAAGGTGGAATGGCTGATGGAGACATTGTAATGTTTCAATCTGAACTGAGGAATTAACAACCGTGGTGTCGTGCAGCAGGCTCACGAAAAAAATCAGCCCCCGGGAACTGAGTAGGGATGCTGTCACTGAAATAATGCGGCTGCAAATGAAGTCATCTTATTGAAAATGGGAGCTTCGTGATTCATGGTTTACTGTTCCCTTGCTGCCACCTAGTGTTGACAGGATGCACTTAAAAGAAGGCGGCAGGGCAGGTGCTGCTTTCGTGGAAGATTATGTTTGCCAAACACAAATTCTGTCACCGGTAAATAAATTTGTGCTGTTGTATTGGGATTTTCACATAATCTAATGCTGTATTTTCATGTTTTGATTCAGGCATTATGATGGTTTTCTCAGCAGCTGAAAAGCCATTTTTGAGATTAAAGATCCCCTTCAGACATTCATTTCGAAAGTTTCACCCCTGGATACAAGATGTCACCTACTTCAATATGAGGTCCATCCTCAGTGTATGTCCACTGGAGGCTTCAAGTTTCTACNTTGCATACTGGACCCGAATTGACTTCTAAACTATTTCTGATCCTGCTCGTACATACAGGTCGTAAGCTGAGATTTACGGTGATCACAGAGAAATTTTTCACTTCAGCAGATGAATGTAAACAGTCTTCAGACTCTGCACAAACATCCAATATACGGAAGACACATTTTGCCGTGGAGGGGAGCTTTAATATTCATGTTCTGCAGGTGATAAGTGATGATACTCTTCACCTGCAGAACATGAATATATTATGATTTAGAGCAGAGTGGCGTCACAGCCTAATTGCTGCACAATATTCTATATTAAAAATAGGAAAATTAAGCTTGTCTCAGCTTGTTTCTGACAAGATTGTGCAACAGCAGTCTCTCAAACACACATGGCAGTCATCTGATACGGTATGACTTGCTTTGCACTCAGCTGGTCCATTTACAGTGCACAAAAAAGAAACATGACACACAAAAATCCAGCAAACATAATGAAATGTGTCAACATTTGTAATATTTAGTAAAAAGTGAAAAATGTATCTTACAAAAGATTCAGAAGTACATGCTACATACTTTTTCATCCCTTCATTCATGGTCATGTGAAAGATATATGTAGGTAAGTAAAATCTGCACACATGTGAAATACAGCCTCAGTTCAAACAATCACATTCAAGGTAAAGTTATAATTTACTTAAAAACAAAAACAAAAAAAACATTAATTCAGAATTGGTCACGTTCACAATGTCAATTAAATGTTATTCAATAAAATGATACACACTGTATATGGGATGTATAAGGTCGTATGGTTGTAGGATTGTCCTTGTTTAAAAGCATCTGGTACACTTTTTAATAAAGAATCTTTATAAAAGGTAAGTCAAGGTATTATATATGTTATTATAACTAATGACTTTATTATTGCTTTACAATTAATTTTCTAATGCTTTATATGTCAATTTAGGCTATTGAAGAAAATGTAACCCTAACCCTAATACAGTTATAAATACCATGAATAAATGCTTAATAAGTTCTTAATAAATGAAGTTAGATCCTTATGCTCTGCAGCTCTCTATCAGATGGTGAGGTCCTACAGTTCAATCAATCGAAGGGATTTTCTTACAATCTGGCAACCCAAAAACTTCTTAAACTTCTTCATAAGAGCATATGACTGTTGTATAAAGATTTAGCTAATTATTTATTTATTATTAATAAAGCCATTAGTTACAATTCATGAACCCCCTATAGGGTGCCTTATTAAAAAGTGGTACTGAAAATTTAAAGTCAACATTACAGCGTTGATAGTGAGGATCTTGGTAAATGTCATTAAAACTGTCAAATAGTTCAACATTTTGGGATTTGTTTTTGCTTTCTTTTCTATTTGTTAAGAAAATATGAAGCTAACCAGCAGCGATAGCTTAGCTCAGCACAAAGACTGGAAAAAGAGGGAAACAGCTGGCTATAGAAAAAGTTACTGCCACCAAATAATAGTTGGTAACATGTATTTTCTACTTTTTTTGCTGTTGTTGTTTTTGTAAGAATTAAACAAGATATAACACGGTATATAAGATGCGGGTAGGCGGGCTTTGCACAAAACCAGGCTAGCTGTTTACTCCCCGTGTCTTTGTGCTGGCTGTAGCTTTATGTTAACCGTACAGAGACGAGAGGTCTTTAGCTTCTTTAACTCTCTGTAAGAACAATTGCATATTTCCTAAAATGTGGAACTGTCCACGTTAAAATCAAGTTCAGAAATTGTTTCCATTTTACAGTTAGTCTATAGATATTTACTTGGCTACTGGCTTTAAG